AAAACAGGTTTTAATAGAACACTACTGGAATAACACAATTTTACAAGGAAGTTTTCATTTTAAACATTTCAAGGAAATAGTTTCCCCCCCTAAAAAAAGTGTTGGAATTAATCATCATGTTATGCTTGATTAACAGTTTTTGCTTACTCAACACACTGTAACATGATAAAGAAATAGTTTTTAATAAGATGCTGATTTTGTTGTACAAACCACAGTACAATAGTCCTGTTAAAATTTCAGTAAAAAAAAACCCTGCCTGTTGTGATTACTACAGAAGCTTGTTTCCGCCACGGAATAAAAAAGGTAATTGCAACTTAACACATTCTGACTTTTTTTTTTTTTTTCACCTCGCAAATGCGATTTTATATCTCACAATTCTAGTCATATTGTCACAGTGGGTTGCAGGAAGGCAGACGGAGACGAGGACACAACTGTGACACATATTACGAGATATAAACTTGCGATTGCGAGAAATTTGCAAGATTTTTTTCTCACAGTTGCGAGCTTATATATCACAATTCTGACTTTATTTCTCGCAGTTGTGAGTTTATAACTCACAATTCTGAGAATTGTTGTCTGAATTGCAAGATATAAACTCAAGAAATAAAGTCAGAATTGTGAGATAAAGTCGCAATTACCCGTTTTATTTTATTCAATTTTTTTGTGGCAGAAACAAAAATGCATTTTAGTCCTAAAGTGGGTATTTAGCTAATTGTGCTGCTATATTCCATCCTTTTAATGTTTTTCAATGTACATTATAAGATGACTCTTTAATTAATTATTTAATATATTTTTAAACAATAAATGTTAGAAAAACATTGTGATATTTTTTTTGTAAGTACATTGTCAGATTTTCACTGTAGGTTATATGATATTCATAATTCTCCTTTCAAAAGCCCAATTTTGTACAGTATTTTAGACGAGTATAGTATATATTTTATATATACATTATTATATATATTATATATAATCACTCTATATGGTAAGGTTAAGCAATTACCTTTTTTTACTGTAGCATTTTTTTTTTTTTACATTCTATTATCTACCATGGCATCACCTCAGTTTGCCCTGTATTTACAAACTCAATCAATACATAGATTTACACAGAATCAGGTCACAGAGAACAACACTTTCTTTGTTCTGGTTTGACAGCAGTTGATAGAAATGGGTGGGTTTGTTAACATAATTCAGTTCCACTAAACAACAGAAATGAAGACAAGAAGAATTAAACACATGCCTTATTGTATAACTTCTGGAGTATTGTGTATGATTCATTTTAAAAAATATATATGATTTGATTTTGATTTTGATTTGATTTTTTTTATAAAGAAAGTACAGATGGGTCTAAAATCACATAGCTGTCACTTACCTGTTGCACAAGCAGAAACAGTTTTGGAGTTCATCTTTTTGAATATTTTACACACTATGTATGTAACATTTGTAAATTTATTTGACACAGAGCAATTTTCACCCCTAGTAAATAATAACGCCTTTTTGAATGTAGAAAATATTTTTTGGAACATCCTGTTAGGGGTGGGCGATATGGCAAAAATATCAGATCACGATTTTTTTCAGGAAAATCACGATTAACGATTTTATCACGATTCTTTTTCATGTTGGTTTTACTATTTTGCAAGTGACTGAGCATTACAGCCAAACTAATGTCCCTATTTAAAAAAAAGAAGCCTTATAGGTAACAAAAGAAAAAAGAATGGCAGACATTTAGGCCAAAGTGGCGAAGATAAAAATCTTTATCATTATTTTCTTTGTTATTAAGAATTAGGAACAAAGATACACATTAAGCATACACAACTTAATATACAAATGAAATAAACAGTGCTTTATTTTTTCAGCTACAGTAGGGGTATTTACCAGTAGCATTGAAGAAAGTAATTAGGCTAAATGAACAAATACGAAAATAAAACACAGCATAGACTTCACTGTATAAATTATATATTGATTATTATTAAAGCTACTACTAAAGTTCTCAGTCAAGAGCAGTGAGTGATTTCCTCTTTGTGTTTTGTTGTTTTATTAACATTAAAGGGATAGTTCTCCCAAACATTTTAATTGTCATCATTTACTCTCTCAAGTTGTTTTAAACCCAAATAAGTTTCTTTCTTCTGTTGAAAATAAAAGTTTTTTGGAAGAATGTGGCTAAACAAACAGTTGCTGTACTCCAGTGACTTCCATAGTATATGTTTTCCTACTATGGAAGTCAATGGGGACCAGCAACTGTTTGGTTAGCCACATTCTTCCAAATAACTTTAATTTTCAACAGAAGAAAGAAATTAATACAGGTTTGGAACAACATTAGAGTGAGTAAATAATGACAGAATTTTTATTTTTGGGTGAACTATCTCTTTAAGGACAAGAGGCAGCTTGTTTACTAACTGGCTACTGTAGCTTTAACCCTCTGGGGTTGTTCGTTTAACAATCACACTTGGGGTGTTCGGGTCCAAATGGACCCAAAGGGCAGGATTCATATTTAAAAAAAAAAAAATCATAATTTTTTCTTTTTTGGTGTTTTGAGATATTTCATGATTTATAATTAATATTTATGCAATAATTATGACCCATTTTTTCCCATTTAACATAATATAATTTTTTTTTTTTTTTTTTTTATCAAAGCTGTATTACATTTTAGAGTGAACAGTGAAGCCTAGGCCTCATGAAAGCAATTTTTGAAAAAATATAGATGCCATCTGGTGGACACACTGAGCATTTTTATCACGCAATAGCACATTTTTACCACTAGTGGATTTACAGCTCTCTGTAGAAAGGCTTGGGGATTCTAGTGATTTTTGCAAATATATACCAATTTTTTTTCAGGTTGTTGATTTTTAAAATATAATAACAGATTCTCAAAGACTATTTTTGTCTTGTTTTTTGTTTGTTTGTTTGGTTTAAATGGTAATTTGAAGTGCCAGTTTTACTTTATAATACAGATTATTATAAATATATAATACATTTCCAATGGGGGTCATTTGGACCCGAAGGTCCTAAGTGTGAGTATTTCTTTTTTTTGTTTACAACCACTTAGACTATTCAAATAGGCTATTCTATTTGAATAGTCTGTGTTTTCATATTGAATAATCTGTGTTTTCATATTTTTGACAATTTCACATTCATTTCCTATGGGGGTCCATTTGAACTCGAAGGTCCTGAGTTTGACTATTTTTTTTACAACCACTTAGACTATTCAGATCCTGTCCCCAATTTTTTTGTGTGTTCACATACCTAATACCATAAAGGTCACCTAGTTTCGTAACATTCCGATTAAGCTGTGATTTTTAAAAATTCAAAACAGATTTATGTAATCTGAATTTATGAGTGTGTATAATTGTGTGTGTGTGTGTGTGTGTGTGTGTGTGTGTGTGTGTGTGTGTGTGTGTGTGTGTGTGTGTGTGTGTGTGTGTGTGTGTGTGTGTGTGTGTGTGTGTGTGTGTGTGTGAATGTGTCTGTTTTGCACTCTTGATGTTTTATAGATTCACCCCTTCACTGTTGTGTGCTTTTTTTATGGATTGTGGCTGATTTGTAGATTGTACGCACCAAAAAACTCTTTTTTCACATTTTTGCCAATTTCCCATTCATTTCCTATGGGGGTCCATTTGGACCCGAAGGTCCTGAGTGTGACTATTTTTTTTACAACCACTTAGACTGTTCACATCCTGTCCCCAATTTTTTTGGGTGTTCATATACCAAATACCAACAAAGTCACCAAATTTCGGACCATTCCGAAGAAGCTGTGATTTTTAACATTTTTTTATTTGAATGATTCGGGTCCATTTGGGCCGAACAACCCCAGAGGGTTAAGAGCTGCACGCGACGCGTCTAATATACACGCATTTGACACGCAGATTTTCTCTCCTTTTTTTTCTGTTTGCTTTCACTTTAGACATAACCAACTTTGTTTATGTAAACCTTGTGTGTATTTGACAATATTAGCGCAATAAGACTCGAAAGATAACTAATAACGTAGTCCAGTAAACAGACGCTGTTAGACAGGCTTTTAGTGCCCGTGTGCTTCGGGTGTATGCGCTCAGAAAGCACACGTCAGAACAGCGCATCAGCACGTGAATTACATGTTTAACCAGCAAGGCTTTAAAGCACATGCAAATAATGGACTTCTGTGAACTGCAGTGTCCCGTTCCTCTGCGTTAACATTTGTTGTATGTTGAGACGGACATCGGCGCCAGAACTGCAACTGATAAAATGCACGATACTACGATATTTCTTCAAAAGCAGATCGTGGAGACATTTTAATCGTCCACAACCGTGATATCGCACACCCCTACATCCTGTGACATTCATGTTCAAAAGACTTGGATTCCTCTGCACTGAATCACAACATTGAATATGATTATTGTTTGTTTAATAAACTGGAAAGGGTACATTGCATGTTCTGCAAAAGTACATTTATATCTGATTGTTGAAGAGGTGTTACACAATTGCCATGTTTTGAAAAGAGAAGGACACGTACATTGAAGCGGTTATAATCTGTCTGGTTTCTGTACAGTCGGCTTTGGTTTCTCCGCAATGATGTCAGGAGATTATTATTGTTTGTCGAAAGGAGTCCTTTCTGCATTCTTTTTTTGCCCCGTTTTATATCCTTGTCTAATGGCTTATGTGTCATCAGTTTGGAAAGTCTGTTTGGTGTGAAGTCACGATAAATGTAACTGCGACAGGTGTTCTGTTCTTAATCTAGGTTTTTAACATATGTTCCTGAATGCTTGAAATTCAATACATATCTTACACAATTATGTAGACACAAGCATGTACCTCTCAAGAAGCATCCTTGCAAACTTCTGCATCTTCAGCATTTTCATGCAAGTGATTTATTACATGGCGTGCGAGAATGATGTTTTATGAGCTGTTTTATGACTCTTTCTATTTTTTCAGTTACACCAGAACCCTCATTTACGTTAAGTCCTCGGGCATTTAAAATGATGCACTCACACTCAAACTAATTAACTAAGAACCTGTACTGTTCTATGTAGGTCAGTGGAAACAATGCTGTGATGAGCTCATGAAGATTGAGGAACCGTCTGCAAAGAAAACTGTGGTGACGTTAAAACAAGGCTCCCTGTATCATGAAATGGGTAAGAGCAATGTTGGAATGTCAGAAGTCAATAAGGTTTTTTTATTGTCTCTTATTCTAAGACATTGTACATCCTATACATTTTGAAAATAAGCCTTTTTGTATAATACTTGAATACACTGTTTTATATGAACAAACAAAAAACTTTAGTAGAGCTCAGTGTAACTGTTGACTAGGGCTGTCACTTTTGTGAAAAAATCCTGATCGATTTTTGAGACATAAATGTTCATTGAATCGATTGTAAAATCGATTTTCCATGTCTAAAGACGTTTCCATTTTCAACGCCAAATATAGGCAAATCCACGGACAACTAACAGGCATTAGGACGAACGTAAAGAGTGCGCTTGAGACGCGCACAAGTCAGCAATATTTCTGATGATTTATTGGCATGAAGTTTCGTGCACAATGACAAACAGGAGTGCAAGATTCTCGAAAAACAATAAGCATAGTGGACTGCCATAACATCAATGAAAAACATTACTGCAGGCTTCGACATGGCTGTGTTTACGATTAGAAATGTCAAACAAATTTCGCCTATGTAGGCGATTGTAGGCCGAATCTGTATCTGTATGCATGAGACTGTCTGAATACCGGCAGAATTCACATTTTTGTTGTAAAAAAAAAACACATTATGCAGAAGTATAGTATAGTTTGTATGTGTGTTTGTCAGAGCCTGCAGTTGCTGTGTGACGCGCGTTCGCTGCGGGCGTGTCGTCGTGACGAGCTGGACGCACTCCGAGAGAAGGCCGTTAAAATCGATTCCCTATTTTCGTTTTCGAGACTTGTGTTGGTTGGTCCGATCGATTGTGCAATCGATTTTCGAACGTAAAGTGACAGACCTACTTTAAAAAAAAAAAAAAGATCTATGTACGATTGGTGAAAACCAGACAAACTTATACATATTATGTTTCTTTTCACAGTGTGTTAAATATATTAAAAGGATAGTTCACCCAAAAATGAAAATTCTGTCATTAATTAAACCCGTAAGACCTTTTGCGCACAAAATGTATTCTCTTCACTTAATAACATTAAGGTTGAACCACTGTAGTCACATGGACTATTTTAAAGATGTCTTTACTACCTTTCTGGTCCTTGAAAGTGGTAGTAACGTTGTAGTCTATGGGGGTCAGAAAGCTATCGGATTTCATCAAAAAGATTTTCATTTGTGTTCCGAAGATGAACGACCGTCTTACAGGTTTGGAATGAGTAATTAAAGGTGCTCTAAGCGATGTCACGCGTTTTTTAGGCCAAAACATTTTTTGTCACATACAGCAAACATCTCCTCACTATCCGCTGGCTGCCTGTCCCCTGAACACACTGTAAAGAAACGCGATCTCTGTAGACAGCCCAGGCTCCACAAACAGCAACAAAAACAAACTGCGGCGACCCGCTCCACGAAACATAACAAACTGTTCCAGCCAATGACCGACAAGAAGGGTTTGGGGGGTTAGTGTGCAGATGAGGAGGAGGGAGGGTCTAGCTACCCTCCGTTTTGTTTGACAATAGTTCGAACGTCAACAAGAAGTGACGTCACCCAGGATCGCTTAGAGAACCTTTAAAGGCAATTTTTATTTTTGGGTGAACTAACCCTTTAGGTTACTCTTTTAGCTTTAAATAAATGGTGTTGTATGTGTTTTTCTGAGGTGAAATGTAAGAAAGTTAAATGTACAAATAGTGTTTTGTTTTAAGGGTGAGGTAGGGAAAACCTGTCACTCACATGAGATCGACCAATAGCAAACCACAACCATCCAATCAATCCCCAATGGACAATATCAAGCCCCGCCCTAAGTATTTTCATGTTCAAGAAGCCGTTTCACAATAGGGAATAATAGACTATCGCAACTTCTGTTTCATGTGGACTTGAAAAAAATCTCATATTTAACATTTAGAATACATACTGTACTGTATATATGGGTTTGCTGACATTGGGTCTGTTTCAGGAAGACAGCGTTTTAAAGAGAGTGCTGTATGTTATGATTAAAGCCATTTTTAGCAGCATCGTTTCAAAAATATGCAGGCATACAGTGTATTTGCAAAAAAAATTAAAATTGAATTGTAATATTTACATAGTTTGCTGACTATATCCAAACAACTAGATCCAAACAAAAGTTTGAGTAAACATTTATTTAAAAACCTCAACCAAACAGTAACCAAAAATAATTTAACGGTAAAATCACATTTTCAATTTTGCATTATTATTGTTAATATTTACAATCAAACGGATCATATTTTACATAATACATACAAATATAAAATATATTTATGAGACTGCTGGCTAATAGCACATGTATTATTATTAAAATAAATGATTGCCATTGCAAAATAATTTAATGCACCAGAATCGTCCATTGCAAAAAATATGTATTGTATACAGTTTGATATTGTTGGACTAACTGTATAATTTTAATCTAAAGCCTTATGCTTCATATAAAAATTTTTTTTGTCACTAATTAATTCCCTTTCTGCCATTAATATAATTTAATAATTTTGAAGAGCTATTATTCACTCTAAAATGTAAATCCAAACTGTTACATGTTACATTCCTGGATGTGTGTTTTTTTGTTTGTTTTGTTTTTACACAAATGGAGACTAAACTAGGTCGTGGTATCCAGATGCAGCTGCACATTTTGATTGAATCTTCTGTTATGCATAACACACGTCCTGAAAATACATATACTACCTTTCTTTTGAATTTAGACATAGTATGATGCTAATTTAAGCATAGTGCACATTAAGCACGCTGCAATCACCCCACCTTGTAGGGTGGAGATCCTTTTCAGAGGTGTAAGTTGACCGACAGGTGAACCGAGCGCGAAGCCAGACGTGCCGTCAGGCTATTCATTTCATATTGCTTGTGTGGCTTATATAGCCATTGAAGTGAGATACAATATGTTGTATATGACATATTATGTACAGCATCTTTAGACTGTTGTTCTGTGAAGATCATACCAGAACAGAAAGAGCCAAGAGAGACAAAGTGAAAACAATGCATGTGGATCATGATGTGTTGACTGATTAAAAAAGCATAAATCCACAACAACTATATAGAAAAAAGGCAATATTGTGTTCACTAACTGCCTATGTTAGTGCTCTTATGACATCCATATGACTTTCTTACTTCTGCAAAACAAAAAACAAGATATTTTAAAGAATGTTTGAATCAAAATCTTCTCGAACAAGAAAATGTTTTGAGGGCATGTGAGTTTTTTTTTTTTTTTTAAGTGCCTGGATAAATCATTTATAATAAACACCGCAATATTCCATAAAACAAGAATTTGCATTTCTTGCAAAAAGAAGTTTTGATTTTATGGTGACTTTAAATGATAAAATGTAATAATTAGGGCCGTCATAGTAGACATAGTAATACTTATATTTTTAATGCCATTACTTTTTTTTAAAGTAATTTATTTTAGATATAAGTTTCAATCAGTTCGTTGTGATTATTATTTTTTATCACTACATTTATTATCATTATTTTTAATATTTAGTCATGTTTATTAATATATTTTAAATGTTTTAATGTAAAAAAATCTATATTTATTTATTTATTTATATTAGGGCTGTCAATCGATTAAAATTTTTAATCTAATTAATTACATACTCTGTAATTAATTAATCTAAATTAATCGCATACACAATCTTACAATGTTTACATGGTACAATTTCTGGTAAGCTACGTTTTTATTATTATTGCTTGACACAAATTTCACGATTTCAATTTAATTTAATTCTTGTGATTTGATGCAATATTGACTCATTTGGAGAAATATTAGGTACACAAGATAGGCATTCATTTTTCTCAAGAAAAAAAAAATCTCACCCAATGCTGTAAAAATACAGAGAGCCATATCAGCTGGTAGTATTTAAGGTTAAAAATAGCTCAAATTAAATATAATGTGTGTTTATTACAGATAACTTTGATATAAGTAAAAATATAATACATATGTAATATAGTAGTAGGCTACATAAATTTAGAAAAATACTCTCTATGGCTCTTTTTTTATAGCCAACTATAACATGCTATATGGTCATGAAATGGCTTTCCTGAGGTAACTTAGGCTAAATGTTATGTGACATAATTGTTCTCCAGCTGTTTTATTGACCTCTTTTCGCGGTTGAAAAACACTGATTGATCGAGGAATATACATTTCGGTAAGTTTTAGGCTGCCCTACTGTATCTTTCAACATTGGTCATTCGTGTTTATTTACTATTAGCTAGAGATGATCGGTTCACGTGCCGCTATAGGGATCTGTCATGTCACATTTACAAGCGCCAAAACGGTATTTATTGTTTGATTTTCGTAATAAAATTGACAGAATCTGAGAGCTGAGATTTTTTTAATATCATAAGTAACGTGCTCTGTCTTGTCTGTTTCCGTGTCCTCTCTTTGGTGCGCGATTTTTCTGTGCGTGAGAAAATGGTTGTGTGACGTGAGAGCGCGTGAAAAGTTACAACCAGAGCCGGCCCGAGCATTTTGGGGGCCCTAAACAGAATTTGATTTGGGGGCCCCCTCCCACTGCGCGGAGTCACCTGTGCTTGATGATTATTGACACAAATATCACGCAATATAATTACAAATATCACGACACATTATAAATGAATACAGTGAGGTTGTATTAATACAAAATAAATAGGCCTACTTAATAAAAAATAGATAGCCTACTTGAAATAATAACTTTTTAACTTTAACTTTACTCTTTTACTAACTCTTTGAAACTTCTCAAAACATATCAAATAAATTATTTGCTAAATAATGACAAAACTGAGAAATCAGAAACATAATAAGAGCAAGGGTTCAACAATGACAATTATTGTTGAAAACTGTTGAAAATATTATTATTTCTGAACTGTCTCGATACAGTGTAACTGTCCTCAAAATCTTTTTTTGATTATTATTGTAACAGACTGTTGGATTGTACATGACAGAATCCAACAAAGTCTGTTACTATAATACCGGTAATGATGTACTGGCGCTCGTTGTATGTGTGTATGCAATGTATTAGTGGCCAGGGGGCCCCAAGCAGGCGCTTAGTTCGCTTATGCCTCGGGCCGGCCCTGGTTACAACACACACACACACAAGCGCGCTTTCTCTCAGACACACACTCCTGGATGCTTTGCATTGATGTGGTACTTTAGAGTTGACGAACTCCGTTTGTTATAAGTAAATGTTCCAAACAATGATCCAAGCAGCGCGTTCTTGTCTCCCTCCTTCTTTTTACATGAATGGTGGCTACGGCTAGAACGGCTCCGCAAACGTCAAAACGGAATGGATTAATCTGCGTTATTTTTTTTAACGCGTTATTTCTTCTCAGATTAATTAATCGAAATGAACGCGTTATTTTGACAGCCCTAATTTATATATATATATATATATATATTAAATAAATATTTGACAAAAATAAAATATTTGTACATTTGAATATTTTTATGAACAATTTTCACAAAATCTCTAAAGCTAACAGAACTGTAAAATGTACATTAAAACTGTGATTTAAAAAAGTAATTGGTGACATATTTGCAAAGTCGCTAACTACGTGGTTTCTTAAAAGTGTTCTTTGTCTACTTTTTTTTAAATACAGTTATGCCGTCATCCACCCAGACCAGAAACCTTCTGCTGCCTCTGAACAGACCGGTTTCTTCTGAGATCCAAAGCCTGCTGTCTACCTATTATAATGACAGGTGATAAAGATTCAGACAACTGTCACACAAGCACATAAAAACACGGACACAATGCATGTTTAATGCCCTCATGTGCACTCTGAAGCCATGTGTGTTGAACAACATGCACAAAGGCATGTGCCAAATACCCTCAAATCAGATAAAGCATGCATTGTGCCGGTACACAGTGTACCTGTGACACCTGAACAAGTTCTTGGCATTCGTGTTAATTTTAATGCCCGGGAGTGGCTTCCCTAGCTGCCAGGGATGTGTAATTAATCGTAACCGATAACAAGATAATCAGGGTCAAACAATTATTTGTGTTCTGCTGCATTATGTTCTGCACACCTTCCTTTCCTTCACATCAGTGCGCTTTCGTTCCTCCCTAAAAGCCTGAACTTTTCAAACATCCAAATCAGCCAAATAAGTGAGTGTTGTGAAATGCAGTCTTTTGTTGCTAAACCTGAGGAAGTGTTTGAAATTAAACCGTGTTAATTAAAGAACATTAAGCCGCAAAAGAGACACTGGTCACCAGGTGGCTTTCTGTGTGCGCACCGAGACGGAGCCGAACGCTGATATGCAAAGTATTAGGATACATGCCTAAACGGTCTAATAGCCAACACACAAAAAGTCAAAGTGCCGTTTTGGGTTTTGTCTTAAAGGAGCAATGTGTAAAAACTTTGAGTATCAATTAACAGAAATGCTATATAACATCCATAGCTATGTTATCAGTGGTGTATAAAGAACTTACTTAATAAACCTTAATAAAATTCTTCTTCCTCGCTGTATTATGGGTTTGCTATGTGGGGAGAAATGTGCTGGTTACAATTATTATATTATATATTAAGACTCTTGATACTCACCTGACTATGGCTTTGTAAACTTTGTCCATGATGTGGTTTATAATGGACTGTGGTACAGAAACAGTGACAATGTTTCACACTCTTGGCTTACTCTGGCTATTCTCTGCTGTCACAGACGACGATATGTTTGTCCCGTTTTAGCCACCGTAGCTTCTTCGAAAGGGAGGGGTGAGCAGTGGACTGAGCCCTTAGTGCAACTCGCAACCGAACTGCTAGATGTCGCTAAAAAATACACACTGCACCTTTAAGTGAACATGCACAGTTTATTTTATTTATACGTTTATTTATATAGGGACAGTACAAAAAAACATGATTCCAGTCGAAAACTGGAAAATATGTTTTGAACATCGAGAGTATAGCATAAGCTAATTTGCGTCTCGGGTCCCTAGAAAGTTTTTTTTTTTTTTTAAATACAAATAAATTCAAAACTATCATCAACTAATCATAGAAATAAGCTAAAACAGCTTGTCATTTATACACATACAAATACAAACCTAAATGACTTTAAGGATGCTTCCAACCCTGGTATGAATACCGTAACTAATTAAAACAAACATTTATTACATTTATTACGTGCAGTTCTGGTTTATTTTAAACCACCGCTTTCCCTTCAATGTAAAATACTTTATTTCACGTACTGCTTTAAACTCATTTGGCAACATGTTCCAGAGTTGGTAGCCCTTTACAGAAAAGGCTCTTTGCCCTTGTGTAGTTCTACGGAAATCAATCCTACAATTCCCACCTGCTGTTCTCCTAGTGATACTACTTGTATCATCCTGTCTCTTTAGAAAGAAAGTTAAGAAAGAAAACACGCGTGTAACAGTATATTGTATTTTGACATTCGGTCTTAAAGTGACAACAGCCTAATAAACCTGCTGATAATCAAACAATAAAAGACAAAGGAAAATCCTTCACTCATCTTGACTAAATAAATGAAGTAGCTTTAATAAGGTTTAGTCAGTATTTAATTATACAGTAAGAAAATGCAGTGTTATTTTACATTTGATTTATTCAGGCTATTACTTATCTGAACACCACTGTTAGTACATCTTCCTGAAAAAATAATACACTATTTAATGTATTTTTGTTCAGTTAAATGTATTTGTCTGTTTTGTTTGTAATTAGTTTCTTTGTTCTTATTGTATTGCTGACTGTTTACTTGTCTTCTGTTTTGAGGACTTACTTTCAATTAACTTAGTAGTAGCTTTTGACGAAGTATCGATCGATAACTGTGACATTTCACTGATATTTCAAATTTGTCATACCTTGAAATAAGACTGATCATATCGCCCACCAATAATCATGTAAAATAATCGTGATTTCAATATTGACCAAAATAATCGTGATTTTATGCCATAATCGAGCAATTATGCAGTATAACACGTTTAGACATGATTAATCTATACAACTATCAAAGTGTGGGTGTGGTGTCACTGTCACACATGCCAAACTCTGATTCACTCTCATCGATATATACATCGTGATGAGTGATGATTTATGGGTTTAAATATCCTCATACTTGATGGGGCAGCTGACAACAAACAAGTCTGTCTTAGACTACAGTACAAGTGAGCTTTGTTAGGATGTGTTTTACTAAAGCACATATACACTGTATTGCGTGTGTGTATATACACTCACCTAAAGGATTATTAGGAACACCTGTTCAATTTCTCATTAATGCAATTATCTAATCAACCAATCACATGGCAATTGCTTCAATGCATTTAGGGGTGTGGTCCTGGTCAAGACAATCTCCTGAACTCCAAACTGAATGTCAGAATGGGAAAGAAAGGTGATTTAAGCAATTTTGAGCAGTATTTCACAATCTGCTCAGTTACTGGGATTTTCACGCACAACCATTTCTAGGGTTTACAAAGAATGGTGTGAAAAAGGAAAAACATCCAGTATGCAGCAGTCCTGTGGGCGAAAATGCCTTGTTGATGCTAGAGGTCAGAGGAGAATGGGCCGACTGATTCAAGCTGATAGAAGAGCAACTTTGACTGAAATAACCACTCGTTACAACCGAGGTATGCAGCAAAGCATTTGTGAAGCCACAACACGCACAACCTTGAGGCGGATGGGCTACAACAGCAGAAGACCCCACCGGGTACCACTCATCTCCACTACAAATAGGAAAAAGAGGCTACAATTTGCAAGAGCTCACCAAAATTGGACAGTTGAAGACTGGAAAAATGTTGCCTGGTCTGATGAGTCTCGATGGTAGAGTCAGAATTTGGCGTAAACAGAATGAGAACATGGATCCAATCATGCCTTGTTACCACTGTGCAGGCTGGTGGTGGTGGTGTAATGGTGTGGGGGATGTTTTCTTGGCACACTTTAGGCCCCTTAGTGCCAATTGGGCATCGTTTAAATGCCACGGCCTACCTAAGCATTGTTTCTGACCATGTCCATCCCTTTATGGCCACCATGTACCCATCCTCTGATGGCTACTTCCAGCAAGATAATGCACCATGTCACAAAGCTCGAATCATTTCAAATTGGTTTCTTGAACATGACAATGAGTTCACTGTACTAAAATGGCCCCCACAGTCACCAGATCTCAACCCAATAGAGCATCTTGGGATGTGATGGAACGGGAGCTTCGTGCCCTGCATGTGCATCCCACAAATCTCCATCAACTGCAAGATGCTATCCTATCAATATGGGCCAACATTTCTAAAGAATGCTTTCAGCACCTTGTTGAATCAATGCCACGTAGAATTAAGGCAGTTCTGAAGGCGAAAGGGGGTCAAACACAGTATTAGTATGGTGTTCCTTCCTAATAATCCTTTAGGTGAGTGTGTATATATATATATACATATATATATATAAACCCTATAAAAAGGGTGTTCATTGGCATGTTTTTTTTTTTGTCAATTTGGAAGGATTTTTTTATATATATAATAAAATGTATTATCATTTTATTAGTTTTTGTTACTGGAGAATTGAAGCATAAAATGACTAAGCAAAATGACTTAGTATATCAAATATTTTTGGAAACATTTATTTTATTTTAATTTTAATGCCCCTTTTGTATAGTATGAGTGTGGTGGGGTGTTTATTGTGGGATGTTTATTGTAAAAAAATCTTTTTTAAATTACATGATTTTATTGCTGTTACGATGCAGAGCAGGAAGCAAGAAGCAGGATCCAAGTGCAGCAGTGTTTTTATTAAATAAACTAGACTCAGACTTCGAAACAGAACAAAGGACATGCAACCTAACAACATCAATAACCCACAATGACTGAACTAAAACCCAGGGCTTATGCCGCGTTCCAGGCAACCTGTAACCCGTGTTTTTCCAACTCGTAACTGGGAGTACATCGTTCCAGGCAACCTGTAACCCGTGTTTTTTCAACCTTATACCGGTGAAAGTGCACTGGAACGGCAGTCAAACCCGTGACTTCCCACCCGTGAATTCGTACTAGATCGATTACTCCCAGTTTCGAGTTGAAAAAACACGGGTTACAGGTTGCCTGGAACGCAGCATAAAATACACAGACAACCAAGCTAAACAAGATAACAAGGGGGCGTGGTTAATAAGAAACACCTGGGAAGACTAATCAACATAACGGGAGACAGCTAAACATGAAAAGACAGGGGAACACATGACAGACAAGAACAAGACACAAAACCCACACTGTGACATAGCCGCTGCCGTCCAGCACAGAGCCTTCGCCGCTGGTCCCGTCCAGCACAGAGCCGCTCCACGTCAGCCCTGCCGAGCCTGCTCTCCACGTCAGCCCGATCCAGAGACTGTTCACGTCACGTCCGCCGATCCATGAGATTAATGATGGGTATTAAAGGGTTAGCTCTGTTATGCCATTTCAAACCTGTATGACTTTCTTCTGTGGAACATAAACAAAGATAATTTGAGAAACGCCTCAGTATTTTTAGTCATAGTCAAAATAGTTTGGTTACCAACATTCAAAATATATTATTTTATGTTCCGCAAAACAAAGAAAGTCATAAATAAGTTGCAGTCTTGCCATGTGCCTGTTCACTCATGTCAAACGATTGACAACAATTCTTTCTTAAGGTTAGACAGAGAAGATGGATGCAAGTACCAGCTGCATCTGTATTGAATAAATGTGCCAGTGCAGATGTGTGACATTCCAGTGGCCACCTCCTGCTCTATGTTTTAATTACTATGTGCAACGTATGGGTGTTTCTGCTTGTGTGTGGGCTGCTGCTTTACACGTCTACACACGTGTGTTTTCATTTCCCCGAAAAACCTGAGTCAGTGTCGCTGGGGACTTTTATGTACTATAGCATGAGGAAGTTATGGATAAATCAAACCTGACCCTGGTTTGTTGATCCTCATGTTGGGCATTCCTGATCTGATTACGAAACTGTTATGACTGTTTCTAAGCTGCGACAAAGCACATTTATGTCAGTTTGTGTTTTTATTTTTGTGTTACTGTGTACACTACCATTCAAAAGTTCGGGGTCAGTAAGATTTTAAGATTAACTTGATCGGAAGTGACAGTAAAGACATTTAAAATGGTATAAAATATTTTCTATTCATCAAAAAATCCTGAAAAAAGACGTATCACGGTTTTCACAAAAATACAAATTTAAATAATAAACTATTATATTATAAAGATATATTAGTAATATTAGAATTGTTTCTTAAGCATGAAATCAGCGTATTAGAATGATTCCTGAAGGATCATGTGAGGAATATATTAAATTCATGGCAATCACAGGAATAAAATACCTTGAAGATATATTACATTTATATTAATAATATATATATATTTATATATTATATTTTAAATTGCAATCTTATTTAACAATTTTACAGTTTTTACTGTATTTTGTTTAAATAAATGCATCCTTGGTGTGCACATTTTTAGAGAGGTCTTTAAAAAACGTAAACAAAACGTACTCATCCCAAACTTCCTCTTTCATGCAATAACAGATCTTTTTTTTGTCAATTGCACGCTATAGTTTTTTTAAATAAGTAAATTAAAGGATTTTTTTTTTACACATTTAAGTATTTTCTTAATTCTAAGTATTCATTATGTATTTTCTTAAATACAGTTAACTCACTTGTGAATGTTCAACTTTGACAAGGTTTGCAGTTGTACCACAAGTGAACTGTTATAGCTACAACCAGTAAGTCACTAATTATAATAATATTATCTTAAGTGATGCAAGTCTCACTTACATAAATTTGTAATGTGGCCTGTAAATGGTTTAAGGCCACATGAATCGAACATGCAGCCCATTTTACTTCATTAAAGGTGCTCTAAGCGATGTCACACGTTTTTTAGGCCAAAAATTTTTTTGTCACATACAGCAAACATCTCCTCAATATCCGCTGGCTGCCTGTCCCCTGAACACACTGTAAAGAAACGCGATCTCTGTAGACAGCCCAGGCTCCACAAACAGCAACAAAAACAAACTGCGGCGACCCGCTCCACGAAACATAACAAACTGTTCCAGCCAATGACCGACAAGAAGGGTTTGGGGGTGTGGTTTGGGGGGTTAGTGTGCAGATGAGGAGGAGGGAGGGTCTAGCTAGCCTCCGTTTTGTTTGACAATAGTTCGAACGTCAACAAGAAGTGACGTCACCCAGGATCGCTTAGAGAACCTTTAAAGCTGCTGTAGGTAACTTTTGAAAAAATGTATTTGCTAAAACTGTCATTATGTCCTGACAGTAGAATATGAGACAGATAATCTGTGTAAAAATCAAGCTCCTCTGGCTCCTCCCAGTGGTCCTATTGCCATTTGCAAGAAATACACGCTCCCGGTCAGAAACAACCAATCAGAGCCAGGAGGAATGTCTTAGCAGTGTCAATCACGCTTGTGTACACGCTGATCACACCCCTCTCTTGCACAGCGCGAGCCGTCGTTCAAACTCAAGATTGCCGGCGTGCTGTAGCTGTGCTTATGACGGAGAAACAACCTAAACTGCCAATTCTCGAGTGACACCTGCTCATAAAACAGAGGTAAAAGGAAAAAGACTGATGACGATAAACAAGCGAAAAAGAAAGAATTACACAGAGCCCATTGACTCGGTGTCAAAACTCTAGCCGCATAACATGTAGATAAAATGTCACGCACTCTGCTAAGCAACAATTGAAACCTGCTAATTCACTGGCTTGTCATGTTGCTGAAATAATGTACTAGCACACCTTATCTAGCATTATATATCGCTAGAATAATTACTTACATACTGTAACGTTAGTTACCGTTATATTAACGTTATCTTACTAGCTATTTATAACTTATAGAAAGAGTGCAACGTTATAAAGTTACATGTAGGCTATTGGAAAATACATAATGATTTGAGGACCAAGTTTGTAGTCAAAGTATGGGCAGGCCATAGTCAATGTAAAGCATATTATTGCTGTTTAGTCCCTATTAGTGAATGTGCCATATAACTTTTTATCCGCCGTCATCGGTGGCCCTGTTTACTAGCCTGCGCGTTCACGACAGGCTCCGCTGTGGAGGACGAGCTGTGGAGGGAGGGCTGTAGCACAGCAGAGAGCAAGGGGGTGGGACCTGTAAGTTGTGCTTGTTCAAATTTTCAGGCTAAGTCAACGTTTCCTAAAAATTCCCTACTGCAGCTTTAATGTGATGCTTTGCCAAGTGAAAGGATATTCAACAAGAAAAAATGTAGGCTGGGACTTTATTTTATACACCAAGATTTGAATGGATCAAATGTGAGTCTACTATGAAAAAAAGGCTAAATAGCTTTGTTGTTGTTCAACATTCACACTCTTACGTTAAGTTAAAACATCACACTCTTACTTGATCTGGACAAGTGTGTGATTTTCATGCGATTTGGGCTATTTTCAGTTTACATTATAAATGCTAAATATAACATTTTAACATCATTATGAGACTAAAATCCACATTAGATCGCAATCGGAAAGTAATACAAACATTTGATGGTTGTTTAAAGTGAGTTTTGAGTGAAAGTGTAATAATCTTTTAAATTGTCTAATGTAGATTGATGCTAATTGTAGCTCTAATGCATCTGTTGCGCCAGGAGCTATATTCTATTATTTCACAATCTATTTTGTTAAAAGAATTCACATAAAGTCCCAAAAATACTTTTTGGTTTTTATTTCTAGAAAGACTTAGGTGGATAAGGTGGATTAATGTATTGTGGGATGAATGTGGTTTTGATGGGAAACCCAGAATAAAGGCTAATAATGGCTGAATACAAACAAAAGATTAACGATAAAAGAAAAATGAAGATACCGGTAGAGGTGTGAAAGGTTCGTTGAGTGAGAACAACTGAGCAAGAATGGAGAGACGTTAGACAATAGATTGCAACTGGGTGTTTAAAAGGTCAATAAATATTTCATTAGCATCTTATCAGCCTTCTCTAAAAACTCACGACATAATTTTATGAAATTATTCACCGAATACATTGTTTTAGAGATATCAATCCTCAGATTTGAAATTAAGCATGACCACACTTTTGGCTTGAGCTTAATTTCAGAGCAAGATTACAAAAAAACCCAAAACATTTTATGTCTTTAGAATAAGTTAAGCTGAAAAATCATCCACAACATCAGGGACTTAAAAAGTAAAAAGTAAACAAGGTCCATTTTGATTTCATGTTGACTTCAAGTGTAAGTGCCAAGTTCAAAAGCTGTTAATCGGCTAATTTAACATATATATATATAACAAAAATATATTGGTCGACCTCTATCAGAGAATTTAATTTACTCAATTAGTTTTCACTATGAAAGATTTTGGGACCCTATGCGAGAAAATGAACCCAAGTATATCGTTATTGTGAATTATTCTGGCCACGATGATCGTGTAGGGAAAAAATCTGAAAAACTGACAAGCCATCTCTCACAATTCCGCCCGAAAACACTCCCATAAATACACAATGCCAGCGTGCCCGAGTGAATTGCAGAGGTTATGAAGAAGTAGTAAATATTGACTCTTGGCATACATTGAAAGCTTTTGCCAATAAAAGCCTTGAAATGCTTTTAATGAAATGCTTATCATTGTTTCCCAGTGTACCATAGAAAGGTGTGACAAAATCATTTACAAATACTGAAGCAGCAAACTTTAAATTGCGATTGCAATTCATACTCCAGTGACTTTATCTGTGGTTTAATTATGAGTCATTATCAGAGCACACTTAATTTTTTAAGTTATATTTTAAGACATATTATGGATTAAATGTATTCACAAACACTAACATACACGTTGGAGCCATAGTCCTGTGGGCACCGCTCAGACACATTTGCCTGAGACAGTCAGGCAACCCAAGTTTGAGTCCCGCCTCATGGTCCTATCCCGATCCTGTGCCCCTCACTCCTCCCCTATGCCTTCCTGTCTCCTCAATCTAATAAACGCAAAAATGCCCCCAAAACATAATTAAGAAAAACAAACATGCATGTACACGATTTATTTCTCACAGAGTGACTTTTCCGGTTTTATTGTGTGCCAGACCACACAATATCTTCAATATAATTAATTTGTTTATTCACACTCCTCTCTCTCTGCTTCTTTGTTTCAGTTACTGAAAGGATGGAACAGGAATAAAGGAAAAACCTGTTTTGTGCACAGCTCAACACACCCCAATACAGCAGAGGCCATACAAATCGTGCAGATTTTATTTTGTTGAAATTTTATAGGCCTGTTTATTTGTCCAAATTCAAAATGCACACATAAGTTCTTCATAACCAGATACCTTATTGGCTTAAAACTGTTTGTCATGATCACAGAATTAACCCTAATATTAGATGACTGTACTTTATCCCACTAGTTATTTCGCGACTTACAAAAATCAATGAATCAATCAATCAATGAATTTATCAAGATCAATCAATCAATCAATTAGTTATTTAATTAATTTACTTTGATGTTTGATTTGAAATTATTATTGTGGAGTGTTACAACAGACAATAAACTTGCACAGCTACATAGGAAATTGTAAGAAAAAAAAGAAAAAAAGAAGTTGCTGTATAATCATTTAAAGTAGGGTTATGTTATAAAAGCTTTTTTTCTGTAGTTATTTCTCAGTTTTAAATTGTTAAGGTGAAAAACATACTGTGCATGTACTGCATCATATTTTTTAGTGCAAATTTCTTAAAGAGCCAGACCATTACTGAGCACTGTTTGATTCTACAGCCCTTATTGGTCATTTAACTTTCCATTTCATGGTTTGCTGGATTAAAATCACTCACCATCCTGTAGAATTAGCTGAAAACAGTTTTAATTGCTACAAGCTATGTAAATCTTGCATGACAAGAGTTTGACAGATGAAGGTGTTTATTTTTTTTGGCGAGTAAGTAATTATTGAATCACCCAAGGCCCATTATAGGGAATTGAGCAACCAAATCTCACGTCAAACTTTTGTTTGACAGGTAGCACATTCAAAAGATCTTTATTAGGAGCATGACTTTTACTTCCTTAATGTCAAATCAACCTACCAACACGGTTTCAAATCAATATGAACGTGACCCCAACACTAAATCTTATTGGATTTGGATTTTGGATTCATCAAGATGCATAACAGGTTGTCAGTGATAGCTGGAAAGGTAGACTGTATTGACAATAGGCATGAATCTGTTGTTTCTTTATGTATATGACAATTATGGTCTCAATTCAAATTGTGTTGATAGTGCCATGATAATAAAATGAATGTTTAGAAAAACCCAACGCTTATTTGTGGCTGTGTGTTTGCATGTATTTTATTTTGCTTATGTGTGAAGGGGTATATGCGTGTATCGAGAGAGTTTATGATATTCTAGTAGGTTCCTGTGCAACCAGTAAAACAACTTGTATACGTGATACCTAAATTCCTAGAAATTCAGAGGTACTGTATTTCAAGAGTTTCATATTCAGTACAAAAGTAATGGAGACAATCACAACACCTAATCTAAAGGGTTTAAACTAGAGTCATTCTGTTTGCTTCTTGGAAATCATTTGGACATCTCAACTGTAACATTATATTATAGTGATATTATTATCTTATTTATTCGGGAGCAAATTTTGTGTGTGATATTCAGTGTTGGGCAGTAACGCGTTACTAGTAACGCGTTACTGTAACGCAGTTACTTTTGACAGTAACTAATACTGTAACGCATTACTTTTTAAATAAAGTAACTCCGTTATCGTTACCATATGGTGCGTTGTCCGTTACTTTTTTAAATTAATTAGTTGCTGGAGCGGCTGAGAAGTGTGCGCTGTTACACAGTACGAGATCACTGAAGAGACTGCTAGCATTATACAGAGCGAGAGGACACATAAACTCACTGGCTGAGTTGTTTACGTTAACACGTGAGGCCGCGCGAGCACGGAGATTACAAGCTGCACGGAGAGCGCTGAGCACTTCAGATGCGCATTTAAAACACAGACAGCGAAACGGTATGAATACAGAACACTAAAGTACACATTGCCATATCATTATAAAGTAATATTTTGTCTAGATGCTGCATCAACAGAGAAAGAACAGAAGCTTGCCGTCGAGTCTGAGAGGAATAACATTAGTAACGGCTAACTTACCTCAAGCGATTAAAGCAATGTGACCAAAACACACGCAGACCTGACCCAGATGTTTTATGTCGCAATTGTTACCATCTATTTGCATTAGTTTATATCCAGCTGGTCACTGTTATGCATTCATTAGCCGGCGAAGTTGTATTTTTAAAGCTGACGTGATTGCAATGCTTACATTGATATGTTCATGCAGCGACATCAAGTTTCCTAATCAAGTGTTCTAAAATTTAAGCAAATAAAGTGAAAGACTATACATGTAATATATAGGTCTACATTTATGTAATTTTAATGCTCTGGCCTTTGCAGATATTTAAATATGGCCATCTTCTATAAACTTGAATCATATAAAATGGTAACACTTTACAATGAGATTACAATTTTAGCATTAAATATGGTTAATAAATGTTGTAGAAGTATCATTCATTGTTAGTTTTTTAATTTCAACATTTACTTAATACATTTGAAATTGAGTTTAAATTGTTATTGTATCTGTTATTACCTTAGTTAATTAGCCTACTATGAACTAACAAGAATGATCAAGGTACAATTGTATTGCTCAAATATTCATTCATGCAGTAAAAACGTATTACTGTCAGCTGCATGAACATATCAATGTTGAGAAAGCAAACACATCACTAGCTTTACACATGCTTGTTTTGTTATTTATTTCAGAAATCCTTGTGATATATTCAGTTTGTGCTGGTCTGACTTAAATAAAATAGTGTTTAAAAATTACTTTCTGTTTAAGTCAGTTTTGTGTTTGTATAGACCATAACGCATAAAAGGGCATTAATGGGAACATTAAAGAACTTTCTTTAAAAAAGTAACTAAAAAGTTACTTTTCACAGTAACGCATTACTTTTTGGTGCAAGTAATCAACAAAGTAATTGAGTTACTTTTTGAATGAAGTAACTAGTAACTGTAACTAGTTACTATTTCTTAGTAACTAGCACAACACTGGTGATATTGTACTGTAAACATATATTTTTTTAATTATTCTAAAAAAACATTTATTTAAACTGTTTTTGACATTAAAGAAATCAAGAATTGCAAAATAAAATGACAAAAACAAATGATCAGGGTTATATATAAATTTTAAAAAATAAAATATAAAAAATATTTTCAAAACAGTTCTATGCTTTGCTGCCAAAGTATCGGTGCTTCTTCATAAAGACTTGCTAAAAAGTTTTTAAAAATACAGCTTTGCTTATTTGAACAGTCTTATAAATCAAGGGTATTTACAGACTTAAGACCCAGAGCTGACTCTTTTCATGTTTATATACATTTTATACAAAAGGTTTAATCACTGAAAAACATCCGTCAAGTCCATCCTCAACATTTCTCTTTTCAGTTCATCTTTTCAGAAATCCTAGAGTTATGCAACGCAAGAGTCTGATTTGGCAAGATTAAGACATTGGCCTAGGTGAAAAACGGCAAATTCTTAAAATGTCTGCCCCCTTTCCAGTCTATAGGGCAGGTTTGCCAGAAGGAATTTGAGGTGGTCTGATGTCAAAGCTGGTGAAGTCAAGATATCCTTTGTCGCAATGTGAGATGTTGCCATCACTTTCTCTGGCTTTCTTCCAGGTTTCATGGTCAAAGAGAGTGGAGTGTCTTCACTGTAACTGCGGGGTCTGGGGTTCATGCTTTCATGGTTGTATGTCATAGGAACTTGTGCCTGTTTAGGTTGAGAGGGCTTGTGTATATCCCTGTCCATAGAGTGCTTGAGAGAGTTGTTTACATAATAAGAGCTCATCATCTGGACCTTTGATTCTGCTGAGATGCCATTGCCGCAGAGGAGTTGGTGCTTCTTTATACCGTTATCTTGAGGGATAGTATCAGAAAGGTTTCTAAAAGGGCTCTTCAGTCTCAAATTGGTTGGCTCCTCGCATGTGGTGGGACTCTCGGATGTATCTGAGCGTGATCGCATGTATAACTTGTGCTCAGGTTGTGCTTCAGCTTTGGTTGGGCATTGAGAAACAGGTCCGTTTCCCGTTAATGCCTGGTTGGAAACCAGTCCTCTCCTAATGAGCTCATTTAGAAGCTTTAGAGGAATCTGGATCTCCATTTTGCCGTTGGTATCCAGGGGTGGGTGTCCAAGGGTACTGCTTTGGTTTAAGATCCCTCCTAACTTAGGTGTTGGTGCAGCAGAAGACTCTTCCTTCAACCAGTCCGTGTATTGGTCTCGTTCCCGTGCTTTCATAGAGAACGCTTCGGAGTAGTTCACTCTACGATTGAAAAGATTCACTGAAGGAGGACTTGCTCTACGTGGGACTGGATTGGCACTGGAAGAGGATGTGAGATCAATGACCTCAGCCATCACTGGGCTCGGTCCTGCTCGGACATTCCCTGGCTCTCCTTCTCCTGAGGAAGTTTCTTCCCCTTGTTCTGCTCCTTCTTCGGTCGTCAAACCCCTTGGAGGGTAAAGAGGGGAGGCTTCGTTGAGGAACTTGGGCTTTTTAGAGGGAGGTGGGCCGAAAGATGATGGTGTGTCACTCAGTGTCTCAAGACTGTTTTCTTTCCGACTGAGGTTAAGGGGTTCCTCCAAACCGGTTGATGACTTGTACTCTTTAGCCAGGTGGCGTAGCCTATCAAGTGACTGATCGCAGACCTGAACATCCACAGAGGACGTGCCCAAGTATGAGACAGGCCTTCGGGGAAGGTCTTGAGAAGGACTGAAGCTTAGGTGGGGCCGCGTAGATTCCCGAAGAGCGATATAATTGTGTAAAGATGTACTTTCGTGTGGGAAGTATGGAGCAACATTCAAAGGCATGTTAAAAATCGGTCTCTGATGCTCCGTTAACATGTGCGGAGAGGCCTTGAGAGGAAAAATAAACGAGTAGCATTTGATTAATCCTCTCATAAAACTTTTCCATTTCTAGAATGCTGTTGTGAGAAAAAATGTTTAATATATTACGTTTTTTAGATGTCATACCTGAGGGAATGCCGGGAGGTGTCGGAAATCTGCCCGTTTGCCAGTCCTGGGGTATTCATGCTCAAAGTCGTTGAAACTGCTGGGGTGGAAGTGCTTTTGTAATCGAGGCGTCCTGAAGACAATATCGTCCCTGTATCCACTTTGGTGACACTCAAAAGGTAGAAGTAGCCTGGTTGGACAAAGAGAGGTTTGTGACTAAAATGTTTTTGAATAATTATATTATTAATAATATGTTTTTTACTATTAAAAATGTAAGCAGCTGCTGTCTAAAGGCCAATTCACACTTCACCGACAGACGCAGACCAACGGCGACAGTCACCAGATTACCGCACGTCACTTCTCAGGCATTCTATGAGTGGCAAAAGGCGTTTCAGCATGTTCAAACCTGACAAATTTTCTGTTTCCGTCTTTCGGTGCAGTGTGAATTGGCCTTAAGGTTACATGCACTTACTTTTCATAGTGTCTGCGAGTGCAGGTGGCTGCACTGGTGCTGCGTGGGTTTCCTCCAAGTATGTTGTAAACTTTCTTCCACAACTGCTGTGTAGTAACCTGGAGATCACACACACACACACACAGGACGTGTTTATTTCTTGCTGGCACATGAAAGCAATTTGAAGTATGCAATCAGTTACTTAAAATAAAAGACATAAAGGAAGATGCTGTAAGGAAGCAAAAAATAATTAAATAGCCGTTGTGGACGGAGAAAAAAAACGATAAAAAAATTCTCAAGAAATTCTTATAAAAGTCCAAGATGAAGTTGTCTTCAATGTAAATATCTGTTTACCTGTTGATAGCCTCCTAGCTCCTTTACTGTCTTGTACATTAGGAACATATCAACTGAAAAGGGAAAGAAAATGCAGATTTTAATACTCTGAAATAAGCTTGTTTTAGACATGCGAACTTAGACTACGTTCACTGCGCTATGTTTACTTGTCTCTCTCACTCACTTTGTTTGAAGCCGAGATGAGGTATTCTCTCAATTGGTGTGTCTCTCTGTTTCATAAAGAGGTAGAGGTCTTTGAGGAATCTCTCTTCTGTCATCTCCTCTCCCAGTTCTGAGCTCCTCTCCTGCGGGCCGTCCCGTTCCATCATGCTAACCTGGCAATACAGTATCAGCATGTTTAATATTATCCAGATACACTACCAGTGAAAAGTTTGGACACACCTTTACTTTATTATTATGCTCCACAATTTAGAATAGTATTAATGTAATCAAAGCAATGAAATCACACAAGCGTTGTCATTATGTTCTAATCCAAACTTAATTTTTAACAGTATTGAAGAAGTTTGCATGTATGCTGGACACTTGATCGCTGTTTCTTCTTCACTCTCTACTCCAAATCATCCAATCAAACAAATTCATAATAATCAAAATAATAATAAAACATAGTTTTGCAAAGATATTCTAAAGTGGACACATTTTATGTCTTCAAAGCTAGTTTGAAATATTTAAGCTTAAGCTTTACGATTGAGAGGTTTTTAATTTCATGAGAAACAAATTCAGCGTGTCCAAACTTTAGTGTATATTTAGAGACAATTTTTGTTTTATTCTACTTATATTTGACTATATTTTATTACAATAGAATTTTTTTGTTATTTTTAATGCCTTAAATTATGGTATTATAATAGGCCTGTTTGTTAAAATTTGTATTAATCAAACTTGATGAATCCCTTATTCATAACCCAATTGTCAGTCTAATTAAATTCACCAAATTATTTTTGCACAGAGTAAATGATGCAAGAACCTTCAAACTTTTTTCAACCCATCCTTAACCTGTTAACTCTGCAAAGCTCAAACAGTTAATCAGTAGTAAGATATAATCAATGTAATGTTTTTATTTGATCATTATATCAAACCTTCCACTGACCTATAAGATTTGTGTGCCCATCTCAAGTCGACAGATTAATATCTTAATCGTGACAGATCTAGAACATATAAAGCTTGACTATCTCAAGCACTCTGTGTACCATGACTTGTTACAGACAGTATCTAATCTAAACATGTGTGACGCACATGATGCTTATCTGCGCACGAGAAGAAAAGGCGGCTTGACAGCAATATTAAATCTCTTTATGTTGACACTTGTTCTCATATTTCCTTCCTCTTTGATTTTTGTTTTTTGTTTTGTCCTTATTTCTTGAGGCATGTTTGGAAAGCGTTGAAAGTTAACATGCACCACAAAAATACAGCCTTCTTTCTTGCTCATAATCTTTAATTATGATTGAATTATGATTGTCTCATGTAAAAAAACAAAAAAAACCCCTCAAAACCAGTGATGGATTTAGTAAAATTTTGATAATTGATGTGTTTGTTTCTGATCCAGCGTGATGCATAAGCTCCAAACATTGTCAGGCCTTTAAATGATGTGCATGAACAAAGCTGTGGAAGCAATTACTTAACTCAAGAAATGTGTTTGTCTTATTGACAACTCACTAATCTGACACTGACAATGACTGATACGCATTCACTCCAAGCAGATTCTTACATACTATTCATCTTTAATCATAATGTAAACAGTTTAAGACAATCAAGTGTGATTTTGTTTAGTGTATTACCAATGTATATTATCTTTTCTGAGATTTAAAAGAACCAGTACTTGCAGTAACTTGCTTTTGTCCTTACAATGAAAGTCAATGGGGTCCAAAACAAGAGAGAGAGAGAGAGAGAGAGAGAGAGAGAGAGAGAGAGAGAGAGAAAACTTGCCCTGTAGCTAAGCGACCATTCATTTTGACCCAAAATTAGCATCATCCACTTCGTCTTACCTGTATCTCTTTAGATTTTTGTCAGTGGTATGATGGATTGCTGGATAGTTCCTTAGCAGAGAGGAATGTAGAATCCAGAGAAAGTTTATCCAAGTTTTCGGCCCTTAGCAAACTAAGCGAGCGGTTTGTTTCACACAAGCGCTTAGTGATGCCTACATGCCGTTTCTCTACACCAGAATGAAATCATGGCCACTTAGCACTTCATGTCATTTCAACCGTCTTCCTGTTTGGAATGTCGGACAGGTTATTCCTGTTCTGAAGACAAATGCCAACTTAAGTATAAATATCGCTGATAATTACTCTGAGATTATTATGTTAATATATTCGTCATCAAGATCCGTTCTTCCCAGGGGAACTTTGTCATCATTTTTCTCACTAATTACTTTTTCTTTTTAACACCACATGAAACGATGTCCCCACCCCGACATTATCCAAGTTTTAATGACATTGCATTCCACAGTAATGTGCAGTTTTATATCAATAAAATTAACATTTATTCTTAGTCAGATTTACATTGAACCTTAAATTAACTTTTCTTTTTATGATAGAAATTGCCTTTTAGATGACCTTTGATCATTTTTATACATCACATATAACTGGTCTTGCTCACGTGTTGCTTTTTCATGTATGGCTCTGGACACTTTCTCATTTAAGTAACAACTTAGTCTGGTAAAATTATTTTAAAAAACAATACACAGTAAGTGTAGGCAACATTCATTTTGGAATGCATACTGAGCTCATATTTTGCTAATAGAATTAGCTTTCTTATATTTCGGAATCTCTTAACTTTTCATAGCAGACTTTGGTATCACGGCACATCTGAGCATAGTTTGAGACATTATTGAGAAATCTGGAAATTGAAAATGAAATATTTTGATTATTTTTTTTAAAGTTATGATTTTCAATGGTTTTCATTTTTGGGTGAACAACCCCATTTACGGGGTCTTTTTCTCAGAAGAAAAATGTAAGAACTGTGAGACTTACGCAAGCGTCTCCTTTTGATCTCCATTTAATCTCATTGTAGTCTGAATGAAACAATTCTTCTTATGTAATGTGTTATGGCTAGACAATACAGTTTTGTTGGACAGATAGAAGTTCTTGTGGTTTATGGCAGACTTAAACTTAGTCACTGGCCGCCGTCTAGTCCTGCGGCTTCATCTTCAGTTGGCATTTGGAATTGTTGTTCTCATGTGCAGATCATAAAAAAACACCACAAATAGAACCCGTTCTCCCCTTTCTTCCCTCCGTAATCGTAACCTGAGTGGAAAATATGTCACTATACAAATAGAAACAGAGACAGCTTGGAATGAAATTATGTCTCGACTATCGCAGCATGTTTAACTCTGTTATTTGTCAACTAGCTCTAAAAGGGCATGCTGAAAACAGTGTTAAAATGAGTCCATTCATCATGTTTTAAAGCATTCATTTGTAGTGATGCTTGTCAGACTATTAAGAGCTGAAGTGCGACGGTGTTGTTGACATGTTTTTGTCAGTAGGATAGACTACTTGTGTTGTTTTTCCACACTTATACTACCATATATTTAAGGGCATGCGCTGCAATAATACCACAATTTTCTTGTATTGATAAACTTGTTTTGTTTTCTTATTGAAATACCGGCTGCTGGAAACTCTATAAGCACATACAGTGGCTCCAGGAAGTATTTGGCTCCGTAATGCAAACTTAATAAGATATAAAGGTTTTAAATCAAAGTCTCATTTATTATGAGATACTGAGATATATAGCACACTTTTTAAGCAAAACATGTCACAGATATAAGCTTGTTATGTTTTAAATGATACAAATTTTTCAAAACGAAGACAAAATACCACAGTACATTCACTAAAATCACCTTGAGAGCAGCTGGTTAAAAGTCGGCGTTAGGTAAAAGTTCAAATTAGTACGGAGTATTGAAAAAAAAAAAAAGATCGATCGGTAACACTTTATTTAGAAGTGACGTAGTTGCACGTACTTAATAGTATTAAAGGGTTAGTTCACCCAAAAATGTAAATTCTGTCAGTAATTACTCACCCTCATGTTGTTCCAACCCCGTAAGATTTTCGTTCATCTTCGGAACACAAATGAAGATATTTTTGATTAAATCTGAGAGCTGGATCACTAGGCTGCTTAAGGGATCGAAACTGACCGGCCCAAAAGTTATGAAAGACATCGTTAATATAGTCCGAGTGACTACAGTGGCTCAACCTTAAGTTTATCAAGCGACGAGAATACTTTTTGTGCGCAAAAAAACAAACAAAAATAATGACTTTATTCAACTAATCATTTCCTTCTCTGTTCGGTCGTGATATTTCACGTAGTGATATTGCGCAAAGCTTCTAGGTTGTACATCACGCATCACACACATGACCAGCGTCGGCCAATAGTGAGCCTGCGTGTGACGTGCAACCTAGAAGCTTTGCGCAATATCACTACGTGAAATATCACGGCCCACAGCGAAGGGAATGATTAGTTGAATAAAGTCGTTATTTTTGTTTGTTTTTTTGCGCACAAAAAATATTCTCGTCGCTTGATAAACTTAAGATTGAGCCACTGTAGTCACTCGGACTATTTTAACGATGTCTTTCATAACTTTTGGGCCGGCCAGTTTCGATCCCTTAAGAAGCCTATGGAGGAGTGATTCAGCTCTCAGATTTAATCAAAAATATCTTAATTTGTGTTCCGAAGATGAAGGAAAAGTCTTACGGGGATGGAACAACATGAGGGTGAGTAATTACTGACAGAATTTTCATTTTTTGGGTGAACTAACCCTTTAACAGTAAATTATGCATAATTACGAGTAACTAAGTAACTTAGATTCCTGCTGATTGCAATGCAGCAAAACTATTTACGTTTAAGGAACATAAATGGATATAGCAAGAAACTCCCCTTGAAAATAAATAAATATGCAGAGAATTTCCTCATTTCTTTCTCAGATCCTGATTAGCAACGTGAGACAATTAAATGATTGGCAGTAAATCTTTAACCTGCTTCCTGGTAGCATCTTTTTCCAAACTCGTTTACAACAGTTTCCACATTCTGGTCCATTCCACAATTTTTTTTGGGCAGCTTACATTGATCATACGTACATGCTCAAAAACACGTGCCGTGCGTCCTTGCATAGGGACATTTACATACCGTAAATGATTTTTGCACTTTTGATGACCAATTGTGTATTTTACATGAAATAGCTCGCAATTGGGATGTATGCCAGAGGAAGCCTGTCCAGTTGTCAAGAAGGGTTTCTTATAATCTGGTGCTGCAATTAATTTTTTTGGTTGAGCCTCATTTGTGGTTGTTAGTGGCAAATGCCAGCATGCACAATCTGTTGACACTCAATCAATTTAATTTATGTTTTGTGGTTTGCAATCTGTTGAAAGCACAAAACAAAATATAGCTGCTAGCAGCGATGACGGGTCCAACCCTCGACGCCAACGCCCCCCCGGTGGTTTTAGGGGAACTGTGCAAAGTGGGCAATATGCATTTACAGCGGGTAAATATAAAAAGATATGTCAATGTCGTTTGAATATGCCACATTTACTTCAGCAGCTGGTGCCACTATGACTCCAGAACTTTAATAAAACATCATATGTCAGTTTTTATTTGTAAATGATTTGTCTGGATCAATGCATCACAAACACTTTTCAAACCCATAAAGATCATATTATACTATTTACATAATCATATTAATATTCTTGAGACATGCATATGCCACCACACCCTCATTGAACAAATAATTCAAATAATTGTCTGATAGTTTTCAGTAAATGACGTAGGTGTCCAAAGCATTTCAAATATGCTATCGAAAGGTTCTCATAATTACCAGTATCAGATTAACAGAATTGTGACAAGATCTGTTTTCAAAGCCCGAATACCAATGAATTTTAGAATGCCAGTGGTGCATTTTACACCTGCATCAACATTACAGTAGGCTACTTGTAGTGAAAGTGTCCTTGGATTCGATTTTTCTCTATAGCAATATGCACTTATTGAAAGTTGTAAAGTTTGCACTATTGCTCTGTAATCTGTTTGTTAATTGATGTGATTCAATTTTCGTATCAGTCATATGAACAGCTGACACGATGACTCAGAAAACAGATTCATTTCATGTATTCTTTGGAAAGAGAAATCCATCTAAAGTTCTAAACATACATATCAATCACATGAATTGCCTCACATAACATATTTAGACACCTTCAGTAGCAACGTAGTTCATTAAAGCAACACTATGGAACTTTTCAACCTTCATAATATATTTCCAAGTCCCTTGTGATGGTACATCGACTTACAATAGGTTAAATGACACGTCTGCCATAGCCTGACGTGGTCTGTATCGCTTTTACTCGCACTATGTAACTTCGGGTTTCGGGTAGTAACCCGAGCACAAAAAGAACTACAAAACTCGACTGCTTTACGGCATACGTCACTTCCCCCACCACTTCCTCAAATTGTCTGTGGCCATTGCAGACTTCCCAAGTCTCCCGGGAGTCTCCTGCGTCTCCCTGATCCCCGCAAATTAGTTCAAATCTGCCGGAATCTAGAGCGCTCATGCGAGACAGAACATACTGCGCGCATAACATACATAGCGCGAGCACGACAGAGAGGGAGAGAGCGAGAGACCTTACGAGTGTGCCTCACGAAAGCTAGTCAACTCGCCCCCCCCCTCCCCCCCCTGGATAAACAGCGAGCGTACGCGTGCGATAGTAGGCTGCGGTAGGCTAAATTATTTACGACAGCGGTAATGGACAATTCCGCTCCCAACCTGTAGGGCGACCGCTGAGGAAAAGTTCCTTGGTGTTGCTTTAAAAGGAAAAATTAATAATAAATACAAATATATGCTCTGAAACTATACATAACCTACACTGGAGTCCACTTGTGATTTTTTTTTGTTGAGTTCTTTCTAATGCAGTGAACTTTTTTTTTCAGTTAAAAATGATATTAACAATATAGCAATTTGAGTGAAAAGCTGAATAGAAAACATGAATTTATGATGACTTAGTAGGCTATTTGTATGTCCTTTTGCTTCAATAGAGTTCAACACCCACTTTTTCAGCTGCCAAATCCTGATGATCACATTCTCTAGCATAATTTGAAAAATACTCTTTAGGTAACGCTTTATTTTGATGGTCCACTTTAGAAAATTTTACTAACTATAAGTAACTTTGCAAGTATGTCAATGAACTCTAATTAG